AGTTTTAATGGAAAACTTTCTGATTTTTAAAAGGAGAAAAGGGTCCAGGAAGCACTAGAAGGGTACAGGACAACCCTGTATAAATAGAGGGGGATTGAGACTGATTTAAGGGCAGATTTTGAAAGAGAAAAATCTGATAAGAGAGATTTTTTTGAAAGAAAAAAAAATCAGATTTGAGGGCACATTTTGAAAGAGAAAAATCTGATAGAGGCAGATTTTAAAACAGAAAGATTTTAAGAAGAAAAATCTGATTTTGAAAGGAGAAGAAATCTGATTTAGGAGCTCTTTTAGAAAAAGAAATAGAAAAGAAAGTATTCGCACACACACACACAGTGAAGCTGAAACAGAAATAATAGAAAAGAAAAGAAAATATCCGAAACTTTGTTGTTCTTTTTGGAATCTGTCCGGGTCTGTGTACTGATACTATTTGGTTTTAAAATCTGAAGTTCTTTAAGAAGCTTTACTCTTGTGAATCTGGGTTTCTCGGATACTGTTATTGCTCAAATCTGTGGAAATACTTATATTCTGCCAGTATTTTGTTACTGCTGCTACTGCTGAAATTTACTTCTTCTACCTTCATATCCAGGTACTTATCTTTTGAATTTTATGTTGAAAAGAGATTCAACATGACAAATCCATGAAGCCTGAATTGCAATTCTGTTTCCAATNTAATAAATTGTGAATTCTTTTAAGAATTTAAAGGCATCCCCTAAAATATGAATTTTACAGGAATTTCATATAAAAAATGTGTAGATATAATAAACAATTTTGTGGAAAATCCATAATATTATTACAAAAATTATACGCAATTAGGGATGCGTTCACGTACCCTGATTATTTTTTTAAAAAGCAAATTCATATTATGCGTACGCGCAATTTCGAGCGAATATTTAAGAAAAGGATTTTTCCAAGGATGTTAAAATAATTTCATATAACCGGAGGTGTGCAGTTCATTATTTAAATAAAAAGGGTGATGATGTTCCTGATTTTATTTTAAATTTCGAACATATATTTTTTATAAAAACTATAACATGGACAATTTTTTTGTGTACACGTACGCGTGGCATGATCCCCGGTAATTATAAAAAGTATATAATACGAATATACGTACGCGTAATTCGTCCATATAATTGTAAACAATAAGTAAAAAAAGCGGTAGTAAAATCATGCAATAAAAACGTATTTGTAAAATCAAGATAATTAAGCCAATAATAAAAACAGTTAAGCGACCGTTCTAGAACCACGGAATNTTGGTGATAGCCCGACCTCAAGTCCAATTTGGAGAATATTTTAGCTCCATGGAGTTCATCCATAAGATCTTGCACAATTGGAATTGGATACTTGTTTTTTATTGTAATGTCGTTCAGCATACGATAATCCACACAAAATCTCCGCGTAGCATCCTTCTTCTTAACTAATATGACTGAGGATGCAAAAGAAGAAGTTTTATGTGAAATTGTTTGAGCTTCCATCATCTCTCTGACCATTTTTTCGATGGTATTTTTATGCTCAAATGAATATCTATAAGGGCGGATGTTAACAGTCATAGACCCTGGTAGCAGCTTGATTGCATGATCACAAGTCTTATTTGGGGGAAGGCTTTTAGGCTCTTGGAATATGTCCACAGATCTGGACAGTAAGTTTTGGATTCGTTCTGGTGGTCTGTCATCTTTGGTTAAGGCATCTAGTTTTGTTAGTTGGGCCGAAATGATACATTGGCCCATCCTTAACAACTTCTGAATAACCTTTTCATCACAAGATTCACTCGGCCCAGAATTATCACAACCTATCAAAGTGATGATTTTGTCCCCCCTGAAAAAGGAAATGTTGTGTGGCCTAGTGTGTAGAACAATTGGGGCCATTGTATCCACCCAATCCATTCCCAATATAATATCCACTCCCCCAGCCTTTAGGAGTCTCAAGTCAAAAGAGAACACTTCCTCATTCATTTTCCATTTGAAAATAGGGCACAATTGAGTACAACTCATAATTTGTGTATTAGCTACCCTTACTTTCATGGGCTTAGCCATGGGCTCTGTTCTCCATTTGAGTTGTTTCACAATGGCTGGGTCTACAAAGCTATGCGTAGACCCGCTATCAATCAAAATTGTAATTGGATGCTTCTTGACCCATCCGCTGATTCTGATTGTGGAAGGGGCATGATTGAGGCCTAGTAATACATTTAAAGAAATCTCAGCCTGGTCCACCTCTTCCATTCTTTCAACCACCTCTATTGCTCCTCCTCTCCTACTGCCTTCTCCTCCTGTAGCATTTAATATTTTTGGTTTGCACTGGTGCCCCGGGAAATACTTGCCGTGGCACTTGTAACATAGATTCTGTTCACGAAGAGATTTGGGACCTTTTGGGCTATGGGTTTGTTGGGTAATATAGGATTTGGGCCTTTGGTTATTGGGAATGGAGTTTGGGTGGTAGTTTTGTAGGAAGGGTTATATGTGGGCGGCTTAGAAAATTTGGCAGATGAATTATTTGCTTGGGCATTTAGGGACTGCTCATAGAGTTTTGCCATATTGTAGGCTGCCAACAATTTTTGTGGATTTGCGTCTTTCACCAGTGGCCCAATCTCCTCTTTGAGGCCCCCCACGAAATATGTTATAAAATAGATCTCATCAAAATGAGGTCTAACTACTTGGACTCGGCAGTGTAGATCCTCAAAACGTTTTTGGTAACTTGTTATGTCGGCCCATTGTTGTAGCCTATTGAAAATAGTGACCATATCTAGCGGCCCAATTCCATCATAGCGTGCAAACAAATCCACACAAAATTGTTTCCAAAACACCTGCCCTCCATGATCAATGACGTATGAATCAAACCAGCTATCAAACTTGTCCTTGACACTCATTGCTACATATGTCATTTTGGCAGCCTCTAGGACTTGATAGTAGTCAAAATAGTACTGCCAACGACGTATCCATCCCCTGACATTATTTTCATCAAATTCTGGGAAATCCAACTTAGCATTTAGAAATTGCAAGTTATAGGCCATAAGGTCAGAGTGGGAAAACAGGGTTGAAAGTGTGAAATCAAAGTGAGGGGGTAATTAGGACATAGACATGGGGCTTGAGTGGTGAAAATGGGCATTTATGTCATGTAAGTTGTTGACAATGGAACAATAGACATATAAGGTAGTAATTGGGCTGAAGAAAGAACTGGAGGGTGAGATATAGGAGGCGTTTGGGTACCCACATAAGTACCAAAGGTTAAAGGATGGCTTGATAATGGTGAAGAAGCATATGACCACTGGAAGCTGAAAAACTTGTGAAGGGTTGTGAAGCACTGAGGGAAACAAGAATGTTGGAATTTAGAGTAGAGTGAAGGGCATGAGAAAAATAGGGATTCATTGGTCCAAGGGATAATGCCTCCATGAAACTCAGGACATAGCTTACACAAGGAACCATGGGATGAGAGGTACTCAAAACTAGACCACGACTCATGTTTGAGAAACTAGGGGTTATCGTCGCCTAGGAGGAGGAAACGGGAGTCGCCGGCGCTGATGCTGGGCGAAATAATCCCCCTACAGATGACTTACTAGATTCAACATAGGAGTTTCCCTGAGCTGTCGCCATGAATGAGCGTGCAGCTGCTCGTGAATCTTTTCGCCGATTTAAATCCTTCATCATCGTTTCCATTTATTCCATCCGTTTCGTCGAAGCCTCCATGAATGACTGAAGTTGAAGCTCGAGAGTCGGAGTTCTTTCTTCATCAGTAATTTCATGTTGTGGATCCACCATTGGATCGATGCTCTGATACCAAATGTAGCACCTGGGCTACCAATTTGGATTGTTGGGAAAAAGGAAAAAAATATAAAGGAAGAAAATTAAGCAAATTCTGATTTCATTGATACATTCCTCAAAATACATAGCAAGATAAATAGGGATATTCAGCTAGCTACAACTGTCTTCCTAACAAACTAGTACTATAATTGGACACTTGTCCTTGATTGGGCTTATAGCCATTTGAGGGAATATAAACTAACAAGAGAGAGGTAATTAATTAATGAGCTCAATACTGCAGAAATAGCAATAGGCCTTAACATAAGCTGATCCTCAGCCCAAGCAATAGCTGACCCAATGTCACAATTGTATTTGTGACAGATACAATTAAACGAACTGCCTACTGAATATTATAATCTTGATATTCTAAAAACAGAAATAGGCAACAAGATTGGGGTGCTCCTCAAAATTGATAACTGTACTGCATTAGCTGCCTTTGTGTCCTTGCACCAGTTGGAAGATCTCTTCCCCAAAAAATTTTGTTGGATAACCATCTACAAAAAATTCACTATGAAACCACTACTCCAATGTGCTCTCATTGTGGTTGCCTTGGCCATTAAGTTACATCATGTACTTCCAGTAACATTTCCCCCTCCCACAATGCGCCGGTGGACGAGTCAAAAGGTCTCTCCGACCAAGTCAACCAAAAGCCCTTGTCAGAAAACAATGGGCGATTTGCAGCCATACCCTATATTTATGCCACTTTTTAACCTATACCCTATTTTTAAAAACTATTGATTTCGTAACCAACTAACAAAAAATTCCGTAATAATATGACCATTATACCCCTTTCAAAACATATAAAATATGCATCACGCATACCAGATTCAAATTCCAAATCGCCTCCGTCTCTCCTCCATCATTCCGTCTCTCCTCAGATCGCCTCTCGCAAACCAGATTTGAACCAGATTCAAATTCCAAATTCAAAATTACAAAATACATTGTAAGTATTCAAATTCATCTTCAGAATTCAAAATAGTTTTTGAAACTGATTGATTTTATGATATATGTTTTCTGATTGATTGATTGAAGTTGTTTGACGGATGAAACATGAACTCTTCACTGATATGCTGAATTTGCATTCTAAATCTGTTTCACGTTGAATTCTAACATTCTAATATGACAAATTTAAATATGCTGAAGTTTTCCACTACATAATATGCTGAAATATTTGGTTTATTTGCTAAACAAGCTGAGTTTTTACATATGCTGAAGTATATGTCTTGTTTATTTGCCAAAATTAGTTCATCTTTAAAAATTTCATCAAAACGAGCTGAAGTATTAAAGTATTTACACATTTAGCAAAACTTCAGCATAAGTGCTTAAGATTTTTAGTTAATCTTTAAAAACTTCAGCAAAACGAGCTGAAGTTTTCCTCCTACACTAGGCACAAAAACTTCAGCATAGGTGCTGAAGTTTTTTAGTTAATCTTTAAAAGCTTCAGCAAAACGAGTTGAAGTTTTCCTCCTACACTGGTGTAAAAAAAATAAAACATAAATTCAAATTTCATATTGCACAAAAACTTCAGCATAGGTGCTTAAGTTTTTTAGTTAATCTTTAAAAACTTCAGCAAAACTAGCTGAAGTTTTCAGCATAGGTTCACTATGTATTTTATTATAATTTTTTGGAAAAAACTTCATACCAAAAAATGCTTAAGTTTTCTAGAATATGTAAAATATTTTTCATATAGTTTTTAGTATGCTGAAGTTTTTTTAGTTTATCTGCTAAAACATGCTTAATATTTTGTCCAGTAATATGTAATTTTCGGATAAATTTTTGTTAATTCCTCTGTTATTTTCTAAGTTTAAAAAAGATTAATATTAAAAAACGCATAAAAACATTAATACAAAAACATCATTTTTCATTAAATAAAATAAAAAATAAATTAAAATTACATATTGCACAAAAATTTGAGCATAAAATGCTGAAGCTTTTTAGTTCATTCTTGAAAACTTCAACAATGGGAGCTGAAGTTTTTCTCATGCACTATGTATTTTATTATGAATTTTTGGAAAACTTCATACCAAAAAAATGCTTAATTTTCGGATAAGTTTTTGTTAATTCCTGCTGAAGTTATTTAGTTCATTTTCTCTGTTATTTTTCGAGTTTGAAGAAAATTAATATTAAAAAAAAGCACAAAAAACTTTAAAAAAATAGAATATTTCATTAAACATTAAAAATATAAATTAAAATTACATAAAAAAACAAATAACATTATAATCCTTTAACTTAAAGGATTATCCAAAAAAAGAAAAACTAATCGTCCATATCATCATCATCATCATCATCATCATCGTCACTGCCAGATGGACGAGCATCTTCATCACCAATACTATCAAATATCACCAGCATCTCAATCCTATCAAGCTTGTTGTTGATTTCTTCCAGCTCCTTGTCGTACTTGTCTATGAGCTCATCCAGTTTCAGCTCAAAAGCCTCTATAATGTCTTTGTAATGACCCAGTCGGTCGTCTTAAGAATTTATGCCCCGATCCCCTGTTAACTACTTTCCCCGAGTTTATTTTTGCTATTTTGATTTGCCGTGACGTTCGGTTTTGAGTTTCAGAGAGTTTTGGGACACTTAGTCCCTAAATGAGAGCTTAAGTGTTGGAAAGTTGACCGTAGTCGGAATAGTGTGAGGATGACCTCGGAATGAAAATCTAATGGTTCTGTTAGCTCCGTTGGGTAATTTCGGGCTTAGGAGCATGTTCGGATTGTGTTTTGGAGGTCCGTAGCTAATTTAGGCTTGAAATGCCGAAAGGTCGAATTTTGAAGTTTCCGGTCTGATAGTGAGATTTTGATCCGAGGGTCGGAATGGAATTTCGGAAGTTGGAGTATCTCCGCAGTGTTGAATGTGATGTGTATGCAAAATTTCAGGTCATTTGGACGAGGTTTGATAGACTTTTTGATCGAAAGCGTATTTTTAGAGTTTTTGGAATTCTTAGGCTTGAATCCGATGAAATATATGTGTTTCGATGTTTTTTTGAGCGTTCTGAAGGTTGGAACAAGTTTGAATGAAGTTATGGGATATGTTGGTAGGTTTGGNTATGTTTTAGGATTGGTTGGTACGTTTGGTTGAGGTTCCGGAGGCCTCGGGATGAATTCGGATGGTTGACGGAAATATTTTTGGAGTTGGAAGTTTGCGGCATCAGTTGGTCTTCTGTCATAACCGCACCTACGGTTTGGGTCCCACATGTGCAGAGCCGCAGAAGCGGTGGGCAAGCGCAGATACGGATTTGGGGAGGATCAGCAGGTTCCGCAGATATGGGTAATTCACTGCAGAAGCGGTACCACACCTTCGGAAGGGTAACCGCAGATGTCGAATCTAGGCCTTAAGTGAAAAGTCGCAAAAGCGACTGTTGTTCCGCAAATACGGGACCGCAGATGCGGTCCCTTGACTGCAGATGCGGAAACAGCTGGGCAAAAATATGAAATTTCGAGGGTTTAGTTTCAAAAGTTGGAAATTCGATTTGGAGCTCGGGAGAGGGCGATTTTGAGAGAAAATTGAAGAGGATATCATTGAGTAACAATTCTTTAACCCTTTCTAGTTTTATTCCATCAATCTATTGTTAGTTTCATCATTTAAATTCGGATTGGAGATGAAAATTGGGGAAAGTTGGAAGAAAGTTCTTAGACATAGAATTCGATTTTTAGTTGGGAATTTGACCTTAGATTTGGATAATTTTGGTATGTATGAGCTCGTGAGAGTATGAGGATTCTGAAAATATAAATTTTACCCGATTCCGAGATGTGGGCCCGAGGGCATTTTGGTCATTTTACTTAATTTTGAGTATTAGCTTAGAATTTCTTTGTAGAATCAGTTACTTGAAGTGTTATTTATATTATGCAATTGAATTGAATAGATTTGAGTCATTTGGAGTCGAGTACTCGTGGCAAGAGCGTGGTTTCAGATTGATTATTTAGCCGGTCCGAGGTAAGTGGCTTGTCTAACCTTGTGTGGGGGACCTTCCCCTTAGGATTTGTATTGTGTTAATTAAAATACCTTATACGTGAGGTGACGAGTGTGTACTTGTGCTAATTTTTGATAATCTGGTTTTCATTAAGTAACTTTAATTGTGTTTTCCCTTTCTATTTATTCAACTTGCACTTTCAAACCTGTTGTTAGTTAGAGAAGCATGTCTAATTGACTTAATTGCTTTATTTGCGTTAACTGCCTTATTTGTATTACGTGAAGCATGCTAGGTTAGAATTGT